TCGAAAGTGGCGACAGTTTCACAGATCGCAGCCCCCCAGGGATGGCGAGGTCTAATTTGAATCCGCCGCGATTACCCTCTATGCAGGACCCCCCAGCAGGCCTCGAAAGTGGCGACAGTTTCACAGATCGCAGCCCCCCAGGGATGGCGAGGTCTAATTTGAATCCGCCGCGATTACCCTCTATGCAGGACCCCCCAGCAGGCCTCGAAAGTGGCGACAGTTTCACAGATCGCAGCCCCCCAGGGATGGCGAGGTCTAATTTGAATCCGCCGCGATTACCCTCGATGCAGGACCCCCCAGCAGGCCTCGAAAGTGGCGACAGTTTCACATATCGCAGCCCCCCGCAGGCAAGACAGAAATAGGCAGGAAAGAGGCGGGAGGCGGGAGGAGGAAGGACGCGACCACACTGCTACATTCAAAACGAATACCCAACCAAGGAGGGTTGGGAAAAAGGAACCTTTTGAATTCTTTTTTTTCAAGTGCCTCGGTCTTTCAACGTCAGAAGCGGGAAAACGTGAGAAGCCGAAAAACGTCGACGAAACTATTGGAAATCACCGATTTTACCCTCTTCGGGCTCTCTCCGGACGGCTCTCGAAGCTCTCTTGGGGGCCTCGTCGGGGCTTTTCGGGGCTTCTCACGAGTCTGGGGTGTGTTGGGGGCCTCGGAGGTTCTGGAGGCTTCTCGGAGGTCTCTGGAGGCCTCCTGCTCCTGTTCTTGGGCTCATCTTGGGTGTGTTCTGAAAGGTCGGGGGCTGTCCTGGGCGCCTCTTCGGCAGTCTTTCGCCTTCTTGGCCCGTCTTATGGCCGTCTTGGGGGCAACCTGGGCGGTCTTGGTGCGGTCTTGGGAGGCTCGTCCGCCGTCTTGGAGCGTTGGAAGCAGGAAGTGGTGGGAAGGCCAAAAACCTAGACAACAAAACAAATAACAATTAACGATTTTAGGTTCTCCGGGCGCTCTCGGGAGGCCTCCCGAAGCTCTCTTGAGGTCTCTCGGCTTTCTTGGAGCCTAGAGAGCCGACCGAAAGCTATCTTGGGTTGCTTGGCAGCGGCATGGGCCGTTCTTTTACATTCTGGAAGATTCTTGGGGTCGTCTTGGGCTGTCTTTGGGCCTTTTGGGGGGTTTCCCCGGGACCGGAACGCGCGGTACCGGGAGCGTTCCGCAGATGTTACGGGGAAATGTGGGACCCCCAGGAGGGGGTGGCGTATTTGTTGAATTTGACAACAGGAACCTATGGAATCCAATTTTTTTTGTTGTTCAAGTCCCTCGGTACCTTCTTCGGGATTTCCGGGACGGCTCTCGAAGCTCTCTTGGGCTGTTTTGGGCGCTTTGTCGGGGTTTGGGGGGCCTCTCAGGGGTCTGGGGTGTGTTGGGGGCCTCTGGGGTGTCCAGAATCCTCTCGGAGGTCTCTGGAGGCCTCCTGCTCCCGTTCTTGGGCTCATCTTGGGGCTGTTTTTGGGGTTGTCTGGAGCTGTCCTGGGCGCCTCTTCGGTCGTCTTGGGCCTTCTTGGCCTGTCTTATGGCCGTCTTGGGAGCATCTTGAGCGGTCTTGGGGCCTTGGGGGTCTATTCGGCCGTGTTGGAGCGTTGGCGGCAGGAAGTGGTGGGAAGGCCAAAAACCAAAAAACAAAGAAAACAATTCATGATTGTAGGTTTCCCAGGCGCTCTCGGGAGGCCTTCTGGAACTCTCTAGAGGTCTTTTGGAGGCCTCCTGGGAGCCTGGAGAGACGCCCGTAAGCTATCTTGGGTTGCTTGGTAGCGTCATGGGGCGTTTTTTTTTTTTTTTTTTTTTTTTTTTTTTTTTTTTTTTTTTTTTTTTTTTTTTTTTTTTTTTTTTTTTTTTTCTTATATATATATATATAAATATAAAAATATAAAAATCTGGAAGCTCCTTGGGGTCGTCTTGGGCTGCCCTTGGGCCTTTTCGGGGGGTTCCCCGGGGGCGGAACACGCGGTACCGCGAGCGTTCCGCAGATGTTACGGGGAAATGTGGGACCCCCGGGAGGGGGGGGCGTATTTGTTGGGGGTTTCTGTAGTCGTTCTTTTTATGTTCTGGGGGCTTCTTGGGGTCGTCGTGGGCTATCCTTGGGCCTTTTGAGGGATCCACCGGGAGCGTAAGGCAGATGTCACAGGGTGGTGCGGGACCTCCAGGAGGGAGGGGGGCATGTTGTTAATATTTGTGTAGTCGTACATATATATATATAACATGTTTGTATTTGTGTATGTATACACTTAGATATAACATATATATATATATATATATATATATATATATATATATATATGTATGTATGTGTGTACCCTTATGTATTTCTCCAGATCCCTCCCGCTATGACTACCCACTTGCCGCGTCTATGGCCTTGTCCTCTTCGCTTTCTCACTCTGCATTCGTCTCCCTCTTCCCAGTGCCCTTCGCCGTGTGGCCCCCTGGACGCGAGGCTCATGGACCTCTCCGGCCAGCCCCGGCCCGACTGGAGTCGCCTCTCGCAGTTCGTGAACCCGCGGGAGGACGCATGGGCTCCTCTTCGTCCTCTTCCCTCCTCCTCTTCTTCCTCCTCCTCCTCCTCTTCTTCCTCCTCCCCTCCTCCTCTTCTTCCTCCTCCTCCTCCTCCTCCTCCTGCTCCTCCTCCGCCCCCTCCCTCCTCCTCCCTCCTCCTCCTCCTCCTGCTCCTCCTCAGCTTCTGAGGGCGCACTCCCAAGACTGCCATCGCCTTTTGGGCCGTGGAACGGATCGGCGCTGGTCAGGTCCGCTGTCCTTCCCCGGGTCAGGTGCGGCCAAGAGGGGGGTGATGACGAGGGGGGGGGATATCATCATGGCGGGGGCCACGAGATCTCCCCTGATCTCACGGTGCCTCTTCTTATCTCTGAGCACGTCCACGGCACCCCCTCCCGGCCGCACACGTGCCGCCGGCCATTGGACGGTGCGCAATGGGGGGTCATAAATGGGGGGGGGGCGAGGGTGGTCCGAAAAGGTACCCAAACGGTACCTAAACGAGCCCCCGGGGACTCCAGAGGGGCCCGAAAGGGGCACGAAAGGGGATCGTTTCTGACCCCCCCATTCATGACCCCCCCATTGAGCCACGCCCACGGCCATGTTTTGCGCCCCCCCCCCCCTCGGACGCCCCACTCTGGGCCGCCCCCGAAGGCGGCGGGCGGGGCAGGGCCGCGCCGAGGTCGGAGGGGGTGTCTCTGGGCGCCTCTGGCCTTCGCCGGCCTTTTTCGGGGGGCGGGGTCGGGGCAGTGGCGGGGTCCAGAGCGAGGGGGAAGAGAGGGAGGAGGAGGAGGAGGAGGAGGAGGAGGAGGAAGAAGAGGAGGAGGACAAGGAGGAGGAGGAGGAGGAGGAGGAGGAG